TGGCTCGGGGCAATGCTTCAACCCAACTGATGCTTTGCAAGAACCCCTGAGGTGTAAGGTGGCATGGAAATCTGTGAATTTGGGGACCATTCCACAATGGTTCACTCCCACACCACTCGATGCCACAGAAGGTTCAGATTCATTTAAATCTCTCTCTCTCTCTCTCTCTCTCTCTCATTTGCTGCAATTAACAAATTAGAGCATCTAGAACACTTTCATCCTTGAGCGTTTCAGAAGATAGACATCTTAGTTGCCAACTGACCTCTTTCTTTTCTCTGGCTTCACTCTTCTGCTGCTCTCTCTGCCACAGTTTTTTCACATTCTTGAGCTGGGTCTTAGAGATAGTTTCCCATCTCTAGGCAGATTAAAAGAAAAACAAGAGTCACGCGGCTGATTTTTGAGGTGGACAAGAAAAACCTTAAGCCATCATCCCATTTCTAACTTTGACAAGGAGTCCCTTTTGGCTGCTGCTTCACAGAGCAGGTATTCAGTTGGAACCAGAATATGAACATTGATTCCATCACCATTCCCTTTTTTCCAGTACCAAGGCCATTGGAAAAGTGCCATTCCTTATGTAGCCACTGATGAACAGAGAAGTGTCAGCAGTAGAGAATCATCATCACCACCACCACCATTCCAAATTAGTGGTTTCTATGGCCAAAATACTTCAACAAATGTTTATTAGTTGTCCTCCTTGTCCATCTTAATTCTGTTTCAGCTGAAACTTGGAACAGGCCAAGCATTCCAGGTTCTGATTTTGCTGAACCAGGGCTGAGCCAAAATGGATCAGCAGAACTTTTGGAATGCATTCCTAAATTTTCATATAACTATAAGACACTGCACAACTTCCGGGGTCTAACCTTTGGTTATTGGTGACACCCAATGATTTGCAAATGTACCAAGCATCGCAACCCACACCCCATTAAAAATGAGCTGCATGCTCAACAGAAGGAAACTTTGGGAAGAGATCAGAAAATGAAGAGGGCAAGAGAGGGAACAAAATCACGCCAATCTTGAGAAAACAACAGCCACATTCCACACTTCAGCATGTTGTAGCAAGTCTCGGTTTTAATAATTAAAGTGGTTTTTCCATGAGTTTATTTAAGACCCCAATTTTAAAACCATCCAAGCTGAGACCACAATTACATCTTATGAATTTCAGAAACGAGCGATGCATTCATGCTGGCTAGCTTCTGAACTGCTTACCAATATTTTTGGTGCTTCTGGAAAAGATGGTAATTATTTGTTTTAACCAACCTGGTTTTCTTTTTGAGAGTCCACGTAGATAGTAGGAAAGGGTTCCTTTCCAGTAGATATCAAAGCCTTTGAAATAATAATTTAAAAAAAGGACAATTCGTTATTAGGTTATTTTTTTAAAGACACCTATGGAGTCCCTGGGGTTCTCTGAGCTCAGTTCAGAGTCCACAGTTCAACCCTGAGCTACACATATTCTCTTCTGTTAAGACACCTGTTCCTAAAGTGTTAAGGATTTCCTTGTTAATAGATAAAATGTATTTAATTTTAGTAATTGTTTCTATCTAGCAACCTAAATCAGGGTTTCTCATCCTTGGCGACTTGAAGTCCACGCATCTTCAAGTCGCCAAGGTTGAGAAACAGTGACCTAGACTTTCTCAGAAACACTGCTAGAATTTATCACTGGACCAACTTTTTCCTGGAAGTTCCCATTACAATCACCAATAACCCTGGTTACACATTGCAGGTTTGTAATGGGGCATTTACTCCAAAGAAAGTTCAGAACCGTACAGCCTGTCAAAATGCAGTTTATTTGAAAAACTCTCAAAGGCCAAATTTGTTTCTTTCTCTCTAAGCAATTAGGGTTTTTTTTCCCCTAATCACGACAAACTAATCTTGCCTCTTGCATTTTTCGTTCCTAGGGTCTGGTTAATACTGGAATAGAAACTAACCCAGAAACCCAAGATAATCAATTAGATGGAGAAACAGAAAAAATGTCCGTGATATAGGGAAGAGTAAACCATTATTGTCTTGCTATCAAGAAAACTGCATGGATATGTCAGTGAAGTCCTGGGAATCACATTCAATTCAACAATACCTACTTTATGTTTCATTAACACACTGCAGAGAAAGACAGACTTGTTTGTACAAGTTTCATTTTGATTTTAACCTTTTTTTCTTAGTCTTCTTGTGTAAATTGTGCTCTTATTTGTATTTATGTGCTTATCACCAGAAAACTTTAGTTATTCGGCAGCCTAAAAATGAGGCCGGTAAGTACATTTTTTAGAATAGTAGTCCCTGAATTTTTTGATCCAGATTTGGAACTAAATATCAGATACGGAAGATGGGCCTGTTCCAGGATAAAGGGATACCTGATAATATGTGTGCTACTAGTTCTTCCCCTGAGATTGTCTTTTTGGACAATTTAATTTAGGAGTAACAAGCTGGTCCCAACACATCTATCAGCACATTCCTTCCTGTACTACTTTTTGTAATGCCCAATCAACGTGCTTATCATGAGCACTGCACTAAATATTTTGTATGGAGAGACTAACTTTGGGAAATGTTTGCCTGAAAATTGGGGATGAAATGGGGCAAGTAAATTAACTGACTGGGTAAAAACATTAGTTCCCTGGAAAATGAGATGCTTACCTTGTCATGACCCCCCACCCAAAAAATAAGATCAATGATACCTGCAAAGCTGTTTTGAAAGGTTTCTCCTGTGTCCCGTCACCTGTGCTGTCACATCCTTCTCGGTCAGACACATAAACCTCTCCTGCAAAGATACAAATAGAATTGTTCTTTGCTAAACACAAAGTATATACACACACACCTGGACAGCATGTATCACTGGGTCACTTGAAGGAAAATGTTGACTTGCACTCAACAGACTCCATTTGATTTTCCAGATTTCAGGTGTGCCGAAGCAACAAGCAATCTACAAAACTTCTGGCCAAGGAATTCAGCTCGATCACCTATGGCAGTGCTGTCCAAACTTGGCCACTTTAAGATGAGTGGACTTCAATTTCCAGAATTCCCCCACCCGCAAAGCTGGCTCCGGGAATTTGGGTGTTTTTGGGCGACTCCCACTTAATATTCCACTTTGTGGAGCGCCGACACTAAGGGGGGTGGAT